CTGCTCGCCCTGCCCCCGGCAGTGGGGAGGGCTCGCCATTGTGGGCACCTCGTCTCCTCTCTTGCTGATGTGGGGGGCCAAGGGAGCCATCCTAGGGGTGCTGTCCTCCTCCCTCCTCCCGTGGGCCCCCAGGGCCTGCCTGCTGGTCTGCACCGGCTCTAACAGCAAGAGACAGCCCAGCTGGTCCTGGTCGGAAGGTGTCAGTGAGTCTTAAGTGGAACCAGGGCTGGTTTCCTGTCTCAGCTCTCCCGCAGTTCCTTGCATTTCCCTCACAATGAAAGGTCATCTCTCCTACCAAAATGGCAGGAGTTACCACGGGCACCAGTGTCCACTCTGGTGGGCATGTGAGGAGGAGGAGGAGGAAGAGGGGTGCCTTGGGTGAGCTGTGCAGTGAGTGTGTGAGGTGGAGCAGGAAGAGGGTGCCTTGGGCGAGCTGTTAGGAGCAGTGCAGGGGTGCAGAGGGAGCTCTGGGACTGGACAGCCTGGGCTGAATGTGGTCAGTCATCACCTGAAACCAAGGGCAAGTCCTGACCTCCGTGTCCTCACTGAGCGTGGGCGTCTATAGATCGGGAGACTCGAACTGGAGACAGTGGGAGAATATGGCCTAGAATATGGCCTGACCCAAAAAGCAGGCAGTGTTTGTTACTGTCTTCATTGGCAACATCAATATCATCACTCTGATGACTAAGATGGGCTATCCTCCCTTTTAAGGTTTCTTTCTTTTTTTAATTTTTAAAAAATGTTAAAAGAAAATTGCGCTCACCGGAGAGACAGAAACAGAGAGACAGAAAGCAAGAAATCACTCCCTAGAGGGGATGGCCACATTACAATCCCTTCACCTTCGTTATCCTCTCTGGATTTTGGACACATATACACATGTGCCCAGCATGAGTTTTAAGCCTCTGGGTCCAAGACTTGAACTACAGTCAACTACATGGAAGTCCAGCAACATAACCATTATGCCATCTGCTGATCCTGTAAAGTTTCTTTAATGAGAGAGAAGACGGGTCCCCTTGATAGGTTCTCTGTACTCCACAATCCCTGATCCCCAGCTTGGCCAGCCAGGATCATGCACCAGTTAGTGGACACACCTGGTAGACCCAGGATCTCAGCCTAGGACCTTCCCAAATGGTTCCACTATCATGCAGTGGCACTCTGTCACCTGAACCACCACACACAGCTGGGCCAAGGCAGGGACCAGGTGACTTGTCAAGTTCATGTCCAGAAATCCATCCCAAGAAATATAAACCCACAAAAATACGTGGAAGAATGCCCCTGTTGATATTGTTTGCAGAGATGGAAAACAACCCAGGAACAGAGTCCCCTGCTGTTCCAAGGCTTGGTTGAATACAGCAGGACAAAGCTCTACCATGGAATTCAACCACAGGAAACTTGAGACGGGTGTCTGTATACTGCCACTGAAATTTCTCTAAGCTATTTAAGTTTTAAAATACCAGGTTGCAGAATAATACATCGTATAGTATCCATTAGAAAAACACGTATATGTGAGAAATGCCTTAAAAATCACTGACAGGGTGGACACTGAATTATCACTTGGGGTGGGGGGCGAAATTTGTAACTTTCTATCCCCTCATTGATTTGTACTCCTTGAATTTTTTAAAATATTTTTTTAAATAGATGATCATATTTGAAGTTTTAATATGAGCTTATGTTACCTGCTTTAAGAACTATTTTATTTAAGTTTATTTATTTATTTATTTGACCAGAGAGAGAGAGAGAATGAGAGAGAGCAAGGGAGAGAAAAAACAATCTACCAGGTTCAGGACTCGAACAATGGTTGGCTGTGTGGGAGTCCAGTGCCCTTAACCACCATGCCACCTGCCAACCCCGAGCAAATATTACTTTTTATCATTTAAAAAAGGAAAACAGGAAAGTATTTTTTGGAAGGGAGTCTCTATTCTCTATACCCTCACATCACTGGGTATTATCAGCCTTTCAAAATTTTTATGTTTCATAAATGAAAAAAAAGTATATCATAGTTTTATTGGTAAGATTGAGCATATTTTTATATTTCTGTTTCATCGGCACTTCTTGGTCAGTGATTTTCTGGTCTGTGTCTCTTGTCTGCCTTTCTGTTAAGCCGTTTGACTTTCTCGTGTTGATTCGTAGAAATGCTTCCTGTGCTATAGATGGTCATCCTTTGTCTATTGAATGTGTTACCGATGTCCTATCTGAAGCTTCTTCCTGGTTTCATGTCATTTTCCTTTTCTGAGTTATTTCCATTCATCAGTGTTTACTGATCTGGTGCTGTGAGCTGGGCATCGGGCTCGGTACCTGCAGAGGCCATCCTGCTGTGGGGGTAGGGAGCAGGAGGTCTTAACCTTCATGGATCTCCTTCATCAGCCGTAGCACAAATGATCCGAGAGGTAGTCAGTGCACAGCCTGGTGCTGAGGCAGCCAGGGAGTCCCTGATCCAGAAACAATGAGAAGAAGAAGAGAAATCTGTCCCCTTTTCCTGGAGGAAAGGGGGATGCAGTGCCAGCTTTTCTGGCCTGTACGGTAGGTTTTACCTCACCAGGACACGTCGGGGAAGACAAGCAAGGCAGGACTCTCTCAGGACGTTTCTTTTTATGTTGTTAGTTCATTTTTTGGGAAGCAACTTTTCTTTAGCCTGTGATAAAGTCCTTTTAAAAACAGCTTAAAAACAACAACTACTTAGAAATCGTGGCCAGCTATGCTCGGGAGACAGCTGCGGAGGTTTGCGAGCAGGCAGCCCTCCCGCTCTTGGGGGTCCACCTGTCCACCACCATGCTTCTCCCCTCACACGTCCTGCATCCGTAGGGCTCTCATTTGAATGGTGTCCTCTTCAAGTGAGGTTCATGGCAGGAGGCGTGCTGGGTGTTCGGCTGGAGCCTGACACGTGGGCAGGCCTTCCTGACTGGGCTCTCTGTCTCTGCAGATCGGGAAGACTGGCGCCTACCTGCAGTTCCTCAGCATTCTGTCCCGGATGCTCATTCGGCTGACAGAGGTGGATGTTTATGATGAAGAGGAGATCAACGTCAGTGAGTGAGACCTGTTGGTGACACCCGGGTGGGGACTCCTCTTAATCCAGTGCTCGGATGACTTTCACTGAATCTTCAGTTTTCTGGGTGGAATGTGCAGGGTTATGATCAGACTCATCCCTAGGGTCTTAGGGGGGCTTTTGAGTATTTTCTTCTTGTTAATTTTTCTTGGATTCAGAATAGCACCTCAGAGGGGGACCAGCAGTTGCTGTAATGACTATGTTGCTGGACTCCCATGCAGTCAAATGGGACTCGAGTTCTGGACCCGGTGGCTTAAACTCACGGCAGGTGCATGTGTGTACGTGTCCAAGATCCCGAGAGGAGAATGGAGGAGAAGGGATTGTGGCATGGTCATCCCCCAGGGGGTGATTTCTCACTTTCTGTCTCTCTCTGTCTTTCTGTGTTTCTGGTGAGCACACGCGCCCTATAGCAGAAACCTGTCCAAGAAAAAGAATAGCACCTCGGAGGACTTGCTGGGAGTACACGACTGGCACGGGGGTGGTTACTGTTTACCGAGTGCCTTCGCCACGGCAAGCACTGTGCCAGGTGCTTTCCCGAGCTACCGCATTTCATTTTCTAAACAGTGCCATGAACTGGGCATGGTTATCCCATCTTCCCGGTAGGTCACCCGCTCGGGAGCCCAGCGGGGACGTGACAAAGGTGAAATTAGACTGGATGGGAGTACTAGCTCTAGAAGGCACAGTTACCCCTCGGGAGTTTCCCACTCGGGAAACTGCGGACATAGGTCAGTGTCTTGGAGGCAACAGAAACATGGGAAGTGTGGGGAGAGCCGTTTTCTCCTGGTTTCCTGAACAGAATTTATCTGGCATAAGGTAAGACTGTTTCGAACAGCGCCCTGGTGCTCGTTGTGAAACACCTCTGTCCCGTCTTTGTAAGCCCCCGAGGGCTCGTACACCTGCTCTGATGCTCCAGTCTGCTGCTCTGGGCATGCCAGCTTGTGCGGGCGGACGTGCTGTCGAGGGAGGGCTGCAGCTGCTGCACCAGCGTCTCATAGCCCTTCTCGAGTGCTTTCACCTGAGTTTGTGTTCTGACTTGGAGAAAATTTGGAACCAAGGAATGGCAAGGCTTTTTAGCCAGGCTCTGAATTTTTACATTTCCCCACAGGTTGGAACTGGATTTTGGGTAGAAATTGTCAGGCTTATTGAATTCTTGTCTCCTCACTTTCTTGGATATCTCAGTGATAAAGGTAGGGTTGGAACCCAGTGTGTGAAACGTCAAAGCTTGTTCTCTCCAGTACTCTTTTTTTTTAAAAAAAAGAACTATTTATTTAATTCCATTTGTTGTTATTTCTTTAATTTGACCAGACAGAGACAGTGAGAAAGAGAGAAAGGGAAAGCGAGAAAGCAAGCTGCCAGGTCCAGGACTTGAACCACCATCGGCCATGTGGGATTTCAGTCCCCTTACCTACCACACCACCTGCTAGCCCCCTCTCCAGTACTCTTACAGCCTCTTACGTGGTGTTATGAAAACAAATGATGATACGTGCATGAAGTGCTGAGCAACTTTCTTTTATTTAGGGGGTAAAATTTTAAAGGATGTGTACACTCCCCAGAGAGACGGAAGTGGGGAGGAAGAAAGCCCCCCATGGGACATGGTCACGCTGCGATCTCTTCCCGCCCATGGCGCCGTTCTATGGGGTTTAGGGCACAGATGCGTGCACTCAGTGTGGTTCTTCAGCCACTGGAGCTGGAGCTGGAGCTGGAGCTGGAGCTGAACCTGAACCACACAGTTGGCCATGTGAGATCCAGCTCCCTTAACCCTAGGACATGGTCATCCCCTGCGCACCTACTACACAATGAACACTCCTTGCCTGCCTTCAAACGGATGTGTACTCTGTCCATGTATGCAATCTAGTGACATATCTATGTACACATGACATGTGTAATTTTTGTTGAGAGGTTTTTGCTATAGGGTGTGTGCACTCGCCAGAAAGACAGAGACAGACAGACAGAAAGTGAGAAATCACCCCCCATGGGGCATGGCCACGCTGCAATCCCTTCTCTTCTATCCTCCTCTCAGGATCTTGGGCATGCACGCACACGCGCCCAACGTGAGTTTAAGCCACTGGGCCCAGGACTCGAACTGCAGTTGACTACATGGGAGTCCAGCGACATAGTCATTAGGCTAACTGCTGGTCCCGACATGCGTAATGTTAATATATATAGAATACATGTACAATACATAATGTCAGTATGTTACATCATTTGAGTTAGACCAACTAGGTTTTTTTCAAGCTTTTATTCAGCAAACACTTAGTGAGTACTGTATACCTCCCATACCAGTCATCATGTAAGCTGATATGTGGGAAATACGAAACTGGTTTGAAGCACATGGTGTCGAGCTTGAGCACTGAGAGAGGCTTCCTACAGGTGGGACTGGGCTAGCCATACAGGCTGGGGGCATTAGGATGTCTAGGGTTTAGAAAGAGAACTTCCCAGGCCCCACTGGGGCTGAGAACCAGGTGGCATACTTGGGGTGTGGCTCTGGGGAGAAGTACAGGGCGTGGGTCTGTTGAGTCAGGACTCTGGAAGGAGAAGTCAGGGTGCGGGACAGAAGAGCCAGTCCGTTCCCACAGGAAACCGTTCAAGGCCGTCCTCTGGACAGAGATCTAAATACCTCATTCGAGCAATCCTGAAAGTGCGTGTGTACGAGGAGCCTAGGAGATACAGGGGGGTCCGCAGTAACCCGAAGACTTGATAACAGTCCTGCTCCAAGCATCCTCCTTGTGCTTATTTCAAATAAACCATTCTCCCTTCCTATCTCATTCCTGCCAATCTTGCAGATGTCCGAGAAGAATCGGATTGGCATTATGTCCAGGTCAGTGACCCCTGGCCAGACCTGGAGCTATTCAAGAAGATGCCTTTTGACTACATCATTCATGACCCGAAGTACGAGGATGCCAGTCTGATCTGCTCACATCATCAGGGCATCAAGATTGAAGGTGAGACTTGGAATCCCTCGCTTCCACTCCTGCCTGAGTATGTGGGCACAGGCTCTTAAGGGGGTGAGCTGTGTCTTGTTAGCGATGGAATCTGGCAGTGGTGAGTGCACCAGCAAGCCCTAGTAAGAAACTGACTTGGCCACTTCCTGTTCAGAGAAGTGACTGCCATGGAAGGAAATCACTGCTCAGGAAGGGCCAAATGACAGTGCTGATACGCTCCTTGATCGGTCATGATCCGAATGTTCTCAAGGCTCTAGTTACTAGAAGATAGGAGACGTGTGTGTTGACCTAGGGATTTCAGACACGTTGACCCCTCTCCTCCCTCTGTCTCACGTTCTCCTTCCTCCTCAGGGACCACCGACTTCCAGGGTGTTGTGATCCTGCAGAGGGTCAGGGCTCTGCACCAGTCAGCCATCCCTGGCCAATGCGATTAGGATGAGCTTGGTGCACACAGCCTGAGAGAGGCCTCCTCGGTAGTGTCCGCCTCAAACTGCCGTTTTCATTGCTCTCAGAAGAGAGTCCTTTCACTGAGGGTCCTTCCCAGAGGCCCTTGGGTTAGTCTCAATGAAGCTCTAGTGTTGAAAGCATAATCCTGCCGTATCATGTGTGAAGTAAATAGAGGGCGATTCTTTTGCGTCATGCTATCAGGTCAGCAATTGATGTAAATTGCCGTGTCGTGGATCCTTGAAAAATTGTCTGTGAATCCTCGAAAGGTCCAGCTGTGGGGTGGTGTGCACCGGTTGATGCTGCTACTCAACAGGCTGAGGCCTCATGGTAGGCCTTGGGTTTGATTCCCCACCCACCCTGGAAAAGAGCAGGGTGTGGTGGCGTGGGCCTGTGGTCCCGGCTACTTGGGACCCTGAGGCAGAAGGATTGCTACACAGCGAGACCCTATCTAAAAATAAAAATAAAGCTGAATGCTTTTAGATCCACGAGTAAGACACTGTATACACAGTCCCCATTACTTCCTCCCACTGAGACTGTCGTCTGCTTTGACCACTGAGTCACCTCGGGGCCCAGATGGGTGAGAGGCAGCCTTGTGGAATCCCGTCATTGGCTGGTGACTTTTAGCATTCCAGTGGCTTCAGTTTGAGTAGAGGGGGTTGGATATTTGTCTTGCTCTTCTGCTCTTTAACGTGGGGGGATTTTGTGCAGACAGAGGGATGTCCCGGAAGCCAGAGGACCTTTTTGTACGACGTCAGACGGCACGGATGCGACTGTCCCAGTACGCGGCGTACAACACGTACCACCACTGTGAGCAGTGCCACCAGTACATGGGCTTCCACCCCCACTACCAGGTAGGCCGGCCAGGCGGCCTCCCTCACGCTCCGGCGGCGCCTGCCTGCGGTCTCGCCTCCGCCTCGTGTCCACTCCCTGTTCTCTCAGGTCTCGTCCAGAGAGGGAGATGGAGATTTCTGGAAGCCCTTGCTTCCTAGGTTCCCTTCTATAATCTGAAATTATTGCTGACACCTCAGAGCGCGATTTCCCTGGGTTGCACACGTGTCGGTGTTGACATTGACTGTGGGTGTCAACAGACGCCCACGCAATTCCGGAAGTCAGTCAGCAGGCCCTGTGTGCTTATCCTGTGCAGCATGGGGATGCAGCGGTAGACAGGCTTTGTCCCTGTCTGTAAGATGCACAGCCCAAGAGGAAGATCCACACTTGAGCCAACCTGCAGGGTAATGGGAAGAGGCCAGAAGAGCAGCGTGGCCAAGGCTTAGCACTGGGGGAGGTGGGGGAGGAGTTTGCACCTACTGTGCACCTGCTGCACGCCAGGCAGTGTGCCTCGGCACTGTTGTCCGGCACTGTTGTCCGTCAGCCCTTCCAGCCTCTTCGCGTGGTAACAAATGCTTAGCACATGTTAATGGACACGTAAATGAACAAGGTGTGCTGGGCTCTGGCTGGTCACCTGAAAGGGGTCTGTGTTAAAGTATGCCTGTCATCCATGCCAAGTGCACTGGGGAGGAACCTGCCCTGCCTTGTTTCTTATTGAATTCTCACTTAAACCCCATTATCCCCACTTTGTAAGTGGAGATACTGTCTTGAGTGGGAAGCAGGAGAGAGGATGTTGAAGAATGAATGAATTTGCTGAGGGGTCAGGGCAGCTGAAAAGAGGGAACAGTGTGTGCAAGTGTGGGGAGCCTGGAACATCGAGTGCAGGGTGTGGGCAGAGCCTGGCCCACAGGAGGCCTGGGCACTGTGGGAGGCACCCGGACTTGCTCGGAAGAACTCCAGGTAGGGCCTGCTGTGGGCAAAGCTGCCTTTCTTGCCAACCCCTTAATGGCCATGGGAGGGTTGTGGAGAGCCCACGAGGCTGATTATTTACAAACAGGTGCTCTAGCATGTTTAAAGTTTCTTTTTTCCATGAAAGAGAGAGAGAGAGAGATGTCCCAACCAGATCTGGACACCACACTACAGTCCCAGCTGCACCAGCGCTGGGTCTCAGGCACATGTGTGCCCGTGTACTCAGGGAGGGCTCCTGTGTGAACCCACAACTTGCCATGGGGGCCAGTGTCACGGTTCCCGTTTTGCTACAGTACCACCTGCTAGCCCTGACGATGCGTTTTACATGTAATGTTTCTTTTCATTTTAGACCCGAGGAGGGGGAGAGGTGGGGGTAAAGGAGTGAGCCAGAGCTGTGGCAGCAGCCCGCAGGGCAGGTGCTCTAGCTGCTCCCTGAAAGGCCTGGTGAGGGTGCCGCCTCGCCCTCTCCATCAGCTGCAGAGGGAAGCAGTAGACAGAGGCTTACCATCCCCCAGTCTGCCTGGTCTTGGGCTCAGCTGCCAGTGACGTAGCACCTGACTGTGTGTGGTAATCCCCCTTCCCAGGTTTTGCTGTGGGACATGTGCACTGCTAAACAGAGATAGAGAGGGAAAGTGAGAAAACGCCCCCATGGGGAATGGCCAGGCTGCAGTCCCTTCTCCTCCATTCCCATCCTGGGATTTGGGGCATACTCATACATGCTCTAGGCATGTTTCTTAAGCTACCAGGTCCGGGACTCAAACTGCATAGTTAGCCATGTGGGATCCAGCCCCCTTAACCACCATGCCATTGGCCGGCCCCATGAGCAAGTTTTTAAAAAAAGTATTTATGTATTTAATTTTATGTATTATTATTACTTTTTTTGAGAGTTTTTTTTTTTTTTTTCCTATAGGGCATGTGCACTAGCTGGAGAGATAGAGAGAGACAGAGAGACAGAAAGCAAGAAATCACCCCCCGCCCCCAGGATGGATGACCACACCACAATCCCTTCTCCTCCATTCTCCTCCCAGGATTTTGGGCACACATGCACATGTGCCTGGTGTGAGTTTTAAGCCTCCAGGTCTGGGACTCAAACTGCGGTTGACTACATGGGAGTCCAGTAACATAGCTGATAAACGCCATCTGCTGGTCCCATTATTATTACTTTTAATTTGCTATGGGGCACATGCGCTAACCAGAGAGAGAGAGAGAGAGAAAGTAAGCAAGTTGCCAGGTCTGGAACTCAAAACATGGTCAGCCATGTGGGAATCCAGTGCCTTAACTACTGTGCCACCTGCTGGCCCCAACATGAGCAAATTTTTAAAAAAATTTTTGTTATTATTATGTATTTTTAAAATTTGACCAAAGAGAGAGAGAGAGAAGGGGAAAAGTGAGAAAGCCGCCACAGTCGACCATGGGGGAGTCCAGCACCTTAACCACCATACCAGCTGCCAGCCACATGAGCAACTTTTAAAGTATAAAAACAAGTAACCCTGTTCACTCCAGATAAATTCCCCTAACATGTTTTCTTAGAGATGAGATTTTTCTTTTAAAACAAATAGAGAGGAAAAATGTTTTCTTGATTTTAAAGCTCAAAGAACTGAAAAACATGCAAGACCTTTAGTCACTATTATTTCAGAGTGCTGGCAGGGAGTCATTGCTGCTCACAGACTGTCATGCCCTCAGGCCGTACTCATGGAGACCTGGGTGTGCCATCCCTGGCCTGTGTTCAGAGCAGTGCTTGGGTCTGGGCCGTGCACGGTGCCTGACCTCAGGCCAGTAAGGGCCAACGAGGGCTGCGGTTCCACTCTGGGTGTCTTCGTCGCTCTGTTCTTTCTGTGAAACATCCCCAGTTGCATCCCTCTCTGCTCCTCCCCAAGTCAAAATCTCTTTCTCCCTCATCTCTGCTCCCAAAGGGCTCCGTGATACTGGTAGAGTTCAAGGCCACTGTGCACTGGTCACCCCTCCCTCTCCAGACCCCGACGGTCACAGCACATGCTGGGAGGGGTGTTCAGGTGGCAGGGGCTGGGCCGGGCCTGGGAAGGGGCTCTCAGAGGGTCAGGGCAAAGCCCAGCTGGGGTCTCAGCAGAGCAGCCCATGCACAAAGGCAGCCTGTGGATGTCTGGCCAGTGGAGGCTGGATAATGTGACAAACGGTGACACTAGACTTGGTGGGATAAGCCAAGACTGCTGAAGTCAGTTTCCCTATCTGTAAAAGGGGGTGACAACTGTGCTGCTTCCAAGAGCTGTTGGTTACCACACAAGGCGATGGGGCCATGCCTGGCCCACGTGGCCTGCGGGCACGTGTTCCGCTAATACGCTGTGGCTCATAACACTCAGAATGGGAAAATACACTTACTAGACTTAACAATGATCTCTTTACTCATGAAGCGGATGCTTGACTTGACAACCAGGCTCTGAGTCAAATCCAGGGTCCAGCAGGGTCAGTGCTCGGGCGACCTGACAGTACCATGTGGCTGATCGAGGGCAGGGTGAGGTGGGCTCGGGCTGCACGTGTGGTCAGGCTGGGTGCCCCTGCTCCATGCGGGTGTCACTGCAGGCCTCCTGTGCTATGGGCGGAGGTGGCCATGGCCGGACTCTGACGGGCTCTGTCCTCTCCCCCACCTCAGCTCTATGAGTCCACCCTGCACGCCTTTGCCTTCTCTTACTCCATGCTAGGAGAAGAGATCCAGCTGCACTTCATCATCCCCAAGTCCAAGGAGCACCACTTCGTCTTCAGCCACCCTGGAGGCCAGCTGGAGAGTATGCGGCTGCCCCTCGTCACGGACAAGGTACCCGCGTGAGTCCCAGTGGCCAATCACTGTGCCTTCCAGGGACCACCGAGCTTAGGTCCTAGAGCTGGGAACCACCTGCTGAGCCACGGGCATGTGGAGACGGGGGGAAGGGAGAGGAGGGACTGGAGCAGCATGTGGGCTTCGGAGTCACCAGGTTCAAGTCTGAGCCTTGCTCTCCATGCACTGGTGGCATTACTTGAACTTGTCACTCAGTATCTCTGAGGTGCTGTTACCTCCTCTGTAGAGATGGGGGATAGTAGCTCTTGCAAGAGCCTTGGTGAGAACTATTTGGCCTAACAACGTGAGGCACCAGCAGAGCGCCTTGGGCGATGGTGGGGGGATGGGGCAGAGTATCTGCTCTCTGCCCGCCCCCCCTCCCCCGCCTTGTCTCTTCTGCTCTTAGATCTGGAACACTTTGAACAGGCCTAGGTAGTTGATGGTGGAACAACTCCGAGGGCCCATCACCTGACTTCAGCAGTTACTAACATGGCCAGCCTCATTTGGCCTCTGCTCCTCCCTTCTGCGTTCCTGTATTATAAACACTAGCATGTATGCGTGCATACACACCTAAAAGATGCATTATATATTTTTTAAGAGGTTTTTTTTCCTTAGAGCACCTGCGCTCATGAACGAGAGAGAGGAACAGACAGAGGGAAAGTGAGACATCACCCCCCAGAGGGGATGGGCATGCTGCAGTCCCTTCTCCATTCTCCTCCTGGGATTTTGGGCACACACACACACAGGCCTGGAGTGAGTTTTAAGGCACTGGATCCAGGGCTCAAACCATGGTCGGCCATGTGGGAGTCCAGAGAGGGAAACTGCTAAGCCATCTGTTAGATACATTATCTTTTGAAGAGAACATTCTAAGAACCCATTGTTTCTGGGACCACCATTCTTTTTGCAGGGCCCCTCCTTATAGAGCTCTTGGCTTGACAGTTTTAGCTTGACCACCTCAGAGTCCAGGGTTGCACCTTAATGAGCCCCAAGCAATGTAGACCTTGTGCAGAACCTCCTTGTCCTCCAGGGCGCCCGCTATCTGGAGCAGTACCTGGCCTTCCAGACCCGGCAGGCTGTTACCAAGTAATGAAAACATTTCTGAAGTTCCAGAGGGTCTGTGTCACAGGTGTCTATCCCGTGGCTGGGGTTGTGGTGTTGCAGTGACACTCCTGTGGTGGACAGAATGTCAAGCGTAGGGTTTACTCCACTCACTTTTGCAGCCTTCCAGCCATAGCGGGCCAAGCACTCCAGCTGTGTGCACAGCTTTGTAGCAGGTTCTCAGAGTAATTCAGAGGGATCCGAAGCCCTGGCTCCCCAGATGGACTTATTGTTAAGGGAAGAGTTGAAGAAAACATAGTATTTATATAAAAGATCTCACAAGAGGAGTGTCTAGATGGAGGATGTTGTGTCTTCATAGCGTATAGAAGGATTCAAGACCTACAGGGATAGTGTCTACACAAAGCACAATGTTCTAACATGGGAGGGAAAGGGAACTTGGCTACGTGACATATGCCTGTTGGTTTTTGCATAACCGTCCCCACACGAGCATTTGTTGAGCTGTTTCTGCGGGCTAGCAGCTGGGCTTGGTTCAGCTGGGCGATTCTTCTGGATGCGGTAGTGCCCATCATGTGTCTGCAGTTAGCTCTCAGGTGGGTTGGTCTAGAGTGGCCTCAGCTGGGATCTTCCTCTCTGCTCCACATGGTCTCTCATCCTCCAGCAGGCCAGCTCACCTGTGTAAGAGTCCAGAGGGAGTGGGATGTGTAAGTCCTCCTGAGGCTAGGCTCAGAGCTGGCATATTTTTTCCTGTATTTTGTTGGTAAACACAAGTCATAGGTTGCATCTCTGAGTCCAGGAGTGCGGGAAGACTCCATCTTGTGATGAAAGATGCAGCAGAGTCACATTTCAAGGGAGGGGAATAATTGTGACCACATTCACACACACTCTACCTCATTATACCTGTATTTTGCAGAGTCAGGAATATATAAAAAGCCCCACGTTCACGCCCACCACTGGCCGTCATGAGCACGGACTCTTCAATTTGTACCACGCGATGGATGGCGCCAGCCACCTGCACGTGCTGGTGGTCAAGGAGTACGAGATGGCCGTGTACAAGAAGTACTGGCCCAACCACATCATGCTGGTGCTGCCAAGCATCTTCAACAGCGCTGGAGTGGGTGGGTATTTGTGCCGCGCCCCACTCAGGGAAACTGAGAGGGAGAGGTATCCTAGAGAAGGGGGAGTGAAACGTGGATCAAGTTGGTTATTTTTAAATATTTATTCATTGGATTACTTTAAAGTTTTTTTTTTGTTTGTTTAATTTGCTATAGGGCACGTGTATTCACCAGAGAGAAAAAAAGAGGAACTGAGAAAGCAAGCTACTAGGCCTGGGACTTGAACCATGGTCCTGTGAGAGTCCAACACCTTTACCACCACACCACCTGCTGGCTGTCACACATTGAGGTTTTTTTTTTTTTTTTTTTTAAAGAACATTTATTTAATTCCATCGGTTGTTATTATTTTTCATTTGACCAGAGACAGAGAAAGGGAAAGCAAGAAGGCAAGCCAGTAGGTCCAGGACTCGAACCACGGTTGGCCATGTGGGAAACCAGCACCTTTAACTACCATGCCACCTGCCAGCCCCTATGTTGAGGTTTTTACTTTTGGACTTCTAAAGCTATTTTGATTTGTTGGGAAAGTCATGACACATTTTTGCATAGAAAAATAAGTCATTGGGACCAGCAGATGGTGTAATGGCTATGTCGCTGGACTCCCATGTAGTCAACCGGGGTTTGAGTCCTGGACCCGGTGGCTTAAACTCATGCCAGGGCCATGTGCGTGTGTTCCCAAGATCCTGAGAGGAGAAAGGAGAAGGGATTGTGACGTGGCCATCCCCCCATGGGATGATTTCTCACTTTCTGTCTGTCTTTCTGGTGAGCACACAAGCCCTATAGCAAAATCTTCTCAAAGAAAGAAAAGAAAATAAAAGAAAAATACGTAATGACTCTTCCAATGACTTTTTATATATGTGTTAGTGTGTATATATATGTGTATATGTATGTGTGTATATATATATACACACACACACACAAATAGATATATCTATATATATGCACATATGTGCGTGTGTGTGTGATTGGTTGTTGATTTCATCCTTGCTCTCAGCTGTCAGAAAAGACAGGACGAGGAGGACAAGTGTGTGCACGTGTTGGAGTAGGGTTGTGCTCCCAGTCGGTGCCTGTGGTCAGTGGACAGGGCTGTACACTGGGCAAGTCGAGCCACCTTGCCTCGGGGTGAGCCTGGCACTCAGGTCTGTTGGATTTGGCCTGCAGGTACGTGGGATGGGTCAGACCTGAGCCAGTGTTTGCCCGTTCCAGGCGCCGCCCACTTCCTCATCAAAGAGCTGTCCTACCACAACCTGGAGCTCGAGCGGAACCGGCAGGAGGAGCTCGGGATCAAGCCGCAGGACATCTGGCCTTTCATCGTGATCTCGGACGACTCCTGTGTCATGTGGAACGTGGTGGACGTTGACTGTGCTGGGGAGAGGAGCAGGTGAGACGAGGTGTCTGCTGCCCCTGCTCGACGGCCATGAGTGGGCCCTCCTTTAGACGGGTGTCCTCTTTCTCCCAGGAGGACCCCAGGGCCCTCCTACTGCTGAGCGTGGTGTGTAGGGGCCCCTGGTGTGACCAGAGTGGGTTCAGGTCTCAGGCCCAGCTTTGAATTTTGTTGAAGTGTGACACACTACAGGCTTAATGTGATAAAATGGAATAAACAGAGATACAGATGCATGAAAAAGAAAGGATAATACATATACAGAAATTTTCACAAACTGAGCACACCCATTTAACTAACTCCCATATTAAACATTATGCCAGCAGGTGGGTGGTGGTTAAGGTGCTGGATCCCACATGGCAGACTTCATGGTTCAAGTCCCAGACTTGGCGACTTATGAAACACATCCAGTGTGTGTGTGTGTGTGTGTGTGTGTGTGTGTGTGTGTCTGTCCGTCCAAAATCCTGAGAGGAGATTGGAGGAGAAGAAATTTCAGTGTGGCCACCCCCTGGGGTGATTTCTCACTTCTCTGTTTCCAGCAAGTGCACATGCCTTGTGGGGGGAAAAAAAAATCTTAAAAAAAAAAAAAAGATCCAGACATCACTAGACCCGGAAGGCTCCCTCTCTGCCTCCCCTCCCCTCGTACCCTTCCTCTCCCTTCTCTCTCTTCCCCCTCTAGCCCCTTACTCCTCTTTTCCTTCTCACCCCTCCCCACTCACCCTTCCCCATGCTCCCCTTCCCATTAGGTGGATGTCAACTCATAGCTTTACTGTCTTCTGACTCATCTTGTTGAGTCCTGATTTTCTCATTTGAAAAGATTTTTTTTTAAGAGTTTTTTGCCTTAGGGTACATACATTTGCCAGAGAGACAGAGATAGAGAGAGGGAAAGTGGGAAGTCACCCCACAGGAGATGGCCATGCTGCAATCCCTTCTCCTCCATCCTCCTCTCAGGATCTGGGGCGCACACACACATGCATGCCCAGCATAAGTTTCAAGCCACTTGGTGTGGGACTAGAACCGTGGTCAGCCACGTGGGAGTCCAACAACATCATTACTGCGCCGTTTTCATACCTGTGCTTGAAGGTGTGCTGTGGGGATTAACTTCCGTCCGTAAGCAAGTTCAGCACCAAGGACGTAGACATGCTTCGCACACGGAAACTGGGAAGTGGGTTGTGCTGGGCTCCGTGCGCCTGGGCAGCTGGGTCCTGGCTCCTGCCGTGGGGTTCGGCCTCTTCAGGAGTGTGCACCTGGGGACGCTGTCTCGCTCTCGAGCAGGGAGTTCTCCTGGTCAGAGAGGAATGTGTCTCTGAAGCACATCATGCAGCACATCGAGGCGTCCCCCGACATCACGCACTACGCCCTGATCGGCCTGCGGAAGTGGTCCAGCAAGACCCGCGGCAGTGAGGTGCGCGAGCCCTTCTCCCGCTGCCACGTGCACGACTTCGTCATCCTGAATGTGGACCTGACCCAGAACGTGCAGTACAATCAGAACCGGTGAGCTCCTGTCCAGGCGGGGAGGGCAGGCCTGGGCAGGCCTGGTGCAGCTGTCCACCTTCTCCCTGCAGGGTGGGCATGGGGGTGCCCTGCCCGTGGCGTTGGCCAGGCCCTGCCTAGTGCCAATTTGTTGTTTCTTAATTTGCCAGAGGGCCTGTGCTCTCCCTGGAGAAAGAGGGAAAGCTAGAAAGCATCCCTGGGGCATGGTTACCCCACAATTCCTTCTTTTCCATTTTCCCCTCCTTTTGGGATTTTGGTCATATGTGCCCATGCACCCAGCATGATTTTCAAGCTGCAGCTCTTGAGACTTAATCTGCATGGTTGGCCACGGGGGGTTCAGCCCCTTCACCCCGACGGCAGAGTCTGGCTCTGGCTTCATGCTTTAGTCCACGAGACCGTTCACAGAGCTACTGTCCTGCCGTCCTGTGCTTTTCTCCCACCCTCTTGGCTTCTTTACTCCTTTCATATATTGCGTTTTAGTGGCTTGAGCACTGAAGAAAACCATGAAGTAATTTCAGTAGGTCGCTGCCTATGTATCGCTGCAAAAGCGCTCACTACACTAAGTGTTGGTGGGTGTGTCTGTGTGCCGGGCCATGGGCACACGCCCAAGACGACCTTTTAGGAGTGTTGGCTTTGGAGCCAGATGGACCTGCTAGGACCCTGGGTTTGCCTTGCCAGCTTTACAGTTTAGGCAGGTGACGTGTCACCTCTGAGCCTCATTTTGGCAGCTATGAAAAGTGGCTCATGTTTTCCCCAGGAGTTATTGTTTCACATTACCAATTGAGTGGAAAGGCTTCTGATCCCTTACTCAGGGCCATGCGGGACGCAGTTTATAGTGGAGGCCTTCCTAGCATGAAGGCCCACGTGCCCACCTTGTCCGTTTGGCCTTGGTACCAGCGTGAGGTCTTGAGGAAGAGTAAAGCCCACTCTGTGATCCAGCCCCAGATGACCGGGGCCAGTGCTCTAGGAGCTGGGGGCCCAGTTGCTTCCACTCAGCTCTGCCCCTGCCCTGGTTCCAAGCAGGTTCCTGTGTGATGACGTGGACTTCAACCTGCGGGTGCACAGTGCCGGCCTCCTGCTGTGCCGCTTCAACCGCTTCAGCGTGATGGAGCAGCAGATCGCGGTGGGCGGGCACAGGTCTTTCCACATCACGTCCAAGGTGAGCTGGCCTCGCTGCCAGGCAGGCCTTCTGTGCAAGCACTGAGGGTGGGGGACATTGGGAGCCCGCTTTTCCCCCTTTGAAGGAGTGGAGTGCAGCCGGACTCTGGGGAGCATTGACACCGAGCCCTGGGAAGTCAAAGACTAATTTTAACCTCTCAGTGTCTGCTCGGGGCGTGGCCGCCTTCATACGTCTCCCTCCTTCCTGCGTGTCCTTGCCTGCCCTGCCTGGCTGGGTTAGGGGGGATGCCATGCTCTTCTTCAGGTGCCAGGATGGCTTGAATGGCACAGCAGGCTAGCTGTAGAGCCAGCTTGTCTGTCCGCTGCACGGCCCGCCTCCAAGACAGGAGGGGTGGTCAGCTTATGTCACCCATTCTAGCTGAGCAGGCCTGGGAATGTAGATGCGAAATCTTGGCAGGCCCTGAGGATTCTGTGAACTCACAGAAGCTACACAGGCTAGCATATCTGCCATCAGGTCCCCTCTAATCCCTTATGTTGATCTGAATTGAGACAGCAGCTTCCCTCCCTGCTCCCACAGGCAGGGATCGAAGCTGCCTCTGGGTGTAGAAGCCCATCCTCACTTCTCTTGCAAATTAGAAAGATCCTTAGGTAAATGTTCTGTACTTTCAGAAGAACTTGAGAATAATGTTCCTTGACCTTTCACCCTCCCCGTCACTGAGGTTTTGAAGTTGACATTGATTTGATTTTTTGGTTTAATATGGGGAGAACTAAGATCTTTATCATATTAAATCTTCCCAAGAAAAAGCCCGATGTGCCTTTAAAACTAATTTTTATATCTGGAGACCAGCAGGTGGTACAGCGGTTAAGGCACTGGATAGCCCCGCAGGGCCGGTCATGGCCCGAGTCCCATACCTGGTGGCTCGCTTCCTCACTTTCCCTCGCTCGCTCTCTTTTGGTGTCTCTCTCTGGTCAAATTAAAATATATGAATGAGTAAAGAAAATTAAACAATTCTTTAAAAAAACTAACTTTTATATCATTCAATGTCATTTTTTAACTGTTAGGTATTTTATGTTTGTTTTTATTTTGAACCTAATCATAATCTTAGTTTTTTGTAGAGAGGTTTTTGCTATTGGGCGTGTGCGCTCGCCAGAGAGACAGAAGGAAACAGAGAGACAGAAAGCGAGAAATCACCCCCTGAGGGAAGATGGCCACACCACAATTCCTTCTCCTTCATTCTCCTCTTGGGATCTTGAGCTCGCATGCACATGTGCCCAGTGTGAGTTTTAAGCTGCCAGGTCTGGGACTTGAACTGTGATCGACTACATGGGAACCCAGCAACATAACCATTACGCCATCTGTTGGTCCTGAACCTAATCTTACTTGCATGTTGATTATGTACAGGAAAGCCAGGGATGTTTTATTGTCTTTCACCTTAATGAAATCACTTACTTGTTTTTGCTTGTCTATCGTTAGTGGGAGCACCTGGTCCCTTCACTCTGGAGTGGGAGCAGACATGGCATAGTATTTAGTAAGGCACATATGAGAAGCCCCTCAAGTGCAGTGTGTTTTATAGGGAGCCCTAACCCAGCCAGGGTTTGGAGGGCTGTCTGTGGAGGGTCCCCGAGCGCATGACATTAAAGTGGAGGCTGGGGGGTGAGAGAGCTGAGTCTCCAGTAGAGGGTGAGCTTGGACAAAGGTGGGAGTGAGAAGGCCCTTTGAGGGGTGCAGACTGAGGAGACAGGCCTAACTAGCCTCAAGACGGTCCTAGACTTCCCTCTAGGAGTGATAGGGAGCCATTGGAGGTGTTCAGTATTGGCCAGTTGGTGTCACTGACGTGAGTGGTCTCTGGCTGCAGCGTGGCAGTTGTGTTGGCGAGTGGGGGGTGGTCTTGGCAGGGCACCTGGGCAGGGCAGGGGAGGGCAGTGGGGCGGGCGGGGCTGCTGCAGAGGCCAGAGCCTGCCTCCCTTGCTTTGGGGAAGGGCTATGGCCCTGGGTCCTCTGGTTTGCGCAGAACGGTGAGCCAGTTCTGCAGAGAAGGGTCAGTGTCTGCGGTGCTCACTGATTTCACGTTGGTCCATTTCACACGTCCCACCTGGGCAAAACCTGACATTTCTTAACAGAGGATTAATCTTGCAGTCTGCATTCTCAGTTCCACTGCCATCCTGGGCGGCCACCCTTCCACGAGCGCCCACCCTGGCTCTCCCGTGGCCCGGGAGCCTGGGCCCTTGGAGCGGCCTGACACCGTCCTTCCTGCTGTTGTGCAGGTGTCTGACAGCTCCGTGGCCATCCTGCCGGCCCAGTACATCTGCGCCCCGGACAGCAAGCACACGTTCCTCGCCGCCCCTGCCCAGCTCCTGCTCGAGAAGTTCCTGCAGCACCACAGCCACCGCTTCTTCCCGCTGTCCCTGAGGAACCATGCCCACCCCGTGCTCTCCGTCGACTGTTACCTTAACCTGGGGCCTCAGGTAGCGTTGCCCAGGGAAAGGCTGGGGCACAGACAGACCAGGACCCAGGCAGAATCGCAACTATGGTGGTTCCTCTCACTGCAGGTCCCTCCGTCGCATGCGCTGGAATTACCTTCGGTAGTTTCAGTTACCCCTGATAAGGAAAGGTGCAAGGGCCAGCAGGTGGCATGGAGGTTAAGGTGCTGGATCCCACATGGCTGATAGTGTGGTTCGAGTCCCGGACCCAGTGGCTCGAAAATCATGCTGAGTGCATGTCATGTGTGTACCCCAAATCCCAAGAGGACACTGGAGGAAAAGGGGTAGTGGTGTGGCCATCCTCCTTAGGGAATGATTGCTCACTTTCCCTCTTCCTCTCTCTCTGGTGGAGCACACATGCCCTATTGTAAAACTAAAAAACAAAAAAAATTAAGAAAAGGGCCGAGTCCAGTATAGTAAGATACCCTGAGAGAAAGGGAGACCATATTCAGATAACTTTTATTATGATATATATATATATTAAGAGTTATTTAATTTTATTTATTATTTTTCAGTTTGACCAGAGAGAGAGAGGGAAAGTAAGAAAGCAAGCCGCTAGGTCTAGGACTCAAACTGTGGTTGGCCATGTGGGAGTCCAACACCTTAACCACCATACCACCTGCCACCCCTATTACAATATGTCGTTACAGTTCTTCCTTGTTAATATCATTGCTAGTCTCTTGCTGTGCCTATTTATTAATTTATTACTTATTAATTAAATGAGACTTTATCATGGGTACACGTATATAGGAAAATTTAGGGTATATGAGTTTTGGTACTGCCTGCGGTTCCAGGCCTCTGTGGGGTCGGGCGTATCCTTGTAGATAAGGGGGACAGACCTGCCATAGGCAGCCCCTTTGTCTCAGGTGTTTACCCTCATTTCTGACCAATAAAGTTAAGGCTGAGAGCTAATAGTTAGCTCGAATAGAAAAAGTTAGGCACCAGAGCCAATTCTGATGCCAAACCACTTCTGATTCTCACATGAATTCCTGGATAGGTAAATCTGGGTGAATACCATGAAATAAGCAGTAGCATTGGTGTTGGCCCCCTCCCCCTGCAAAACCTCGCACTGACCGAGCAGTTCGTATCTGTGAGGTGCACCCCCCGCCTGCCGCAGTGTTGCACACTTCCTGGAAAACGCTTTCCTCTTGGCCTCCTTCCTGTGCAGATGTCTGTCTGTTACGTGAGCTCCCGGCCCCACTCTCTGAACATCAGCTGCTCCGACCTGGTGTTCAGCGGCCTCCTGCTATACCTCTGTGACTCCTTTGTGGGAGCCAGCTTCTTGAAAAAGTTCCACTTCCTGAAAGGTAACTGCCGCTCTCTGACCCTGGGCCATGGCCTGAATGGGTGCCCTCGCCTGGTGCCTCAGAGGAGGGGGCCTCTGGTCCTGGTGCACACGTGCCAGTGGGGAAACTGAGGCTCCGAGGTGACTTCCCTGACCTCCAGGAAATGTCAGCAGGCTGGGTTGGGTGCCAGGGGCTGTCTTTCCCCTGTGTCTGTTGGGGCAGAGACAGGACTTTCCCCCTGTCTTTTAGGTGAATAGCAGATATTTTCAACCTCAGTCCCCCTCCTCCACACCCCTCCCCTCCGTGCCAGATCCCCTCAGAGTACCGCATGCACCTTTCCAGTTCGTCTGCTCACTCGTCCCTGTGCTGGGGCGGCCGGGAATGACACATGGACACTCGCTCTTTGACTTCACCGGTCCAGTCCTGTCGGACCCCTGGCTGACCCTCACGCCTCCTTCCTTGTTCTTTACTCTGGCCTTCCTCTCTAGCAGGTATCTAGTGAGCACCAAGAGTGTAAAAGGCCTTGGGAAATATTGAGAGGTTCCTACAACAGCCTCTGGCCTTGGGAAACATGTTGTCTAAAGGGCGGAGTGGACTTGTAGGGAGGTAGGGAGAGAGTACGCAGGAGCCCTGATGGCCGTACTGCTGTGTGCCGGAAAGCGGGGTCCACGCCGGGCCGGATGGGTGGACAGGCTTTGGATGGGCAAAGAAGAGGGCACTGAGGTGTCAGGAGAGAGGAGGGGATACAGACCAGGCTGGAGCCGAGAACGCTGGGCGCAGTCAGGCAGGCCTCTCCTTCCAGCTCACCTCCTCTGTTCCGCTCTTTCCTCTGCGTCCATGCTGTCTCCCCACGGCCCTGCCCCGGTCGCACTGTCTGGTGAGGATTAGAAATCACCGAAGGAAACAAGGGGCAGACTTGACGTCGGGCCTTCCCTCCAGGCAGCATCCTGCTTGCTTCTGCGAGCGAATCCAGGCGGGAGCGCGTGCGTGCGTCCACCCGCCTCCTTTCTTACACACCTCCACCCTGGTCCCCATAGGTGCCACCTTGTGCGTCATCTGTCAGGACCGGAACTCGCTCCGCCAGACGGTTGTCCGCCTGGAGCTGGAGGATGAGTGGCAGTTCCGACTGCGTGACGAGTTCCAGACGGCCAACGCCAAGGAGGACCGGCCGCTCTTTTTTCTGACTGGGCGGCACATCTGAGGGAGATGGCCAGCAGCCATTCTGGACGGATGGAGGGTTCCAGACCCTCGGGCTGTAGAGGCTGGAGGGCGCCCTAGCACCACGTGGCCTTTGACCTGGAACAGCCAGAGACGGTGTTACTGGGCAGCCCCTTGTGGAACCAGCTGGGCCACCCAGGCCCAGAGGCGGATGGCGACTGAGCTGGGGTGAGGAGGCTGTGTCGGGTGGGCAGGGTGAAAACCCAGCACCTGAGTTCTGGCTGGGCCTCGTTGCCCTGGGCAGTGCGAAGTGCATTTTCTGAAGAACAGTGTTTTGCGCGGTGTCGTGTGTCTCATATGCTCCCATGGACGGACTTGGCTTTCCTCTGAGTTCCAGAGTCTTGGATTATCAGAGAGCTGCTGGTGTCTCGGGACTGGCCGTGATTCCGGCTAATAGGTCCCCTTAACCTCCCACAGAGCAATACCCCTGTAAAGGCTGGAGGCGAGACACAGGAGGCAGGGCATTTTATAAGGATTATCTGATTGCCTACGGCTTTGTTCTACTAGAAGCTAGCCCAGAGGCGTCACGTCCAATAAAACAAACCGCTTCACTTCCAAGCAGGTATGATTCTATTAAAATAGTATAGGGTAAATGCCCTACCTCTTAGGGCAAAAATAAAGTTTTCTTTAAAAGAGTCTTAGGAAGGAAGTTAGGGTGACAGAGGTGGGCCTAAACTTTGCCTTATAAAGGAAAGAGGACCAAATTGCTTCCTGGAAACCAAGAAATAATAGAAACCACCCAAGTGATTCATAAAAGTAGCTGATGAGAACTAGACCTATGATATTTTCAGTTCCTTAAGTAGCTTGTTTTCTTTTATGCACGTATGATTTCTTTAGAGAATGTCTCACCTGGTCTCCCTGACCTGGAGAGACTGGGCACAGAGAGAAGGAAGCGGGGTAGCCCTCGTGCCCTCTGCTGCAGCCAGCCGCCATGATCTTTGAGCCAGTGTTTCACAGCGCCACCTGCAGGCCAGGCGTGGGCCAGGTGCTTTTACTGTCAACCCTGTTGGACCCTCCTCCTCAGTCTCCTGTGACTGGAGTTCTCTCCACTTGAGAGATGTGCAGGGAGCGCCCCTCACCAAGGTCCCACAGCTGCAAAGAACTAAAGCACAACTCACTCCTGCTGTCTGGGTTCCTCACGGGCTCTCCCCCAGCCCACACTGGTTTTGAAGCTCCCCACAACCGAAGGGAGAGTTGAAAGATACATGGACGCAGTCGGCGGGGTGTGATCTGCTCTCTCCATCCCAGACGTGGACGAGCACGCACGTGCGTGGTTCACAACCCGGGAAGAACTGTTTGGAAAGACGATGCCAAGAAGTTTGTTAATCTCTTTTTACCCCTAAGAAAAGTCGTGTGTGAAAGATTTGGAATGTTTATAAACTGATCACTGTATATGTCATCATTCCTATTCTGGAAATAAAAACTGGCCTTCTGTAGTTATATATTTGTCTTCTGTAAATAGCACTTTCTGTGTCCTTTTCCCCTGTAGTTAATTTAAACTTGGGGGGACAAAAACCTCAAAATATTCTTGTCTGTTCCAGTCTTATCAATAAAACCAATAATGCTTTTATTGTCTGGTGCGTACTAATTGCATTATTTTTGAGAACATTTATGGGACCAGTACTCTCTGTGGGTTTGTGCTTAAAGTCTCATGGCATGACAGGAGAGACAGTTTTAAAAAGGAAGTAAGAATAAAATGATGAACCTGGGGACTATTGAGCCAGCAGATGGCGTGGTGGTTAAGGTGTTGGACTCCCACATGGCCGAACATGGTTAAAGTCCCGGACCTGGTGGCTTGAAAATCACTCCAGGATGGGACCAGCAGTTGGTGTAATGGCTATGTCACTGGACTCCCATGTAGTAGACCACAGTTTGAATCCCAGATCCGGTGACTTAAACTCACGCTGGGTGCATGTGCATGCGTGTCCAAGATCCCGAGAGAATGGAGAAGAAGGGATTGTGATGTGGCCATCTCCTCTGGGGGGTGATTTCTCACTTTCTGTGTCTCTGTCTCTCTGTTTCTAGCAAGTGCATGTGCCCTATAGCAAAAACCTCTCAAAAAAAAAAAAAAAAAAGAAAGAAAAAGGAAAAAGAAAATCATTCCAGGCACTTGTGTGTGTGTGCCCAAACTCCTGAGAGGAGAATGGGGGCGAGGGGATTGTGACATGGCCATCTCCCTGGGAGGTGCTTTCTCAATTTCCCTCTCTGTGTCTCTGGTGAGTGCACGTGCCCTAACAAACAAAAAACAACCTTAAAAAAAAAAAAAATGAGACTGTTAACAAGTTGGAGAGTTCCTGAAAGACAAAAGGCAGAGTTGGATGTACAGAAAAAAATATATGAAAGGACTTGTAAATATTTGTGGGACATGCGTATTATGAAAAACTACACATGGGGAAGAGCAAGTGGTGTCATGGTTATGTTGCTGGACTCCCATGTAGTCAAGTCCTGGACCTGGTGACTTAAAACTCCTGCTGGGCACATGCACGTGCATACCCAAAATCCCAAGAAGAGAATGGAGGAGAAGGGATTACAGCATGGCCATCCCCCAGGGGAGTGATTTCTCACTTTCTGTCTCTGCAGTGAGCACATCTGCCATATAGCAAAAACTTCTCCGGGGGGAAAAAAAATAAAGAAAAATAAAACTACACGTGACTTTCATATTTTTTTTGGTACCAAAATAAAGGATTCCATTTTTTCATGGGTTTTTTGAAATCCTCTCATATGGAAGGAACCAGTCGAGAATGTGCAGGGAAGCCTGCCACAAAGGATGGAGGGCTTGGGGCTCTCTGGGCTTCGGGGTGACTGGAGAAGGTGGAAGGGACTGGGCATTTGTGCAGAAAAGCAAGATAGCAGGCTCCTTGTACACTTCCTGTCACACCCACACTCCTGACCCACTAAGCAGCTGGTCTTAGCCAAGGTTAAAGCAGGGGCCCCCGGCAGTGGTAAATAAATGGGGACCAGCCCTTTGTGAGGACACACTACTGGTGCTCATCTCTCCTGTCCCCATAGTCACTTGGCAGCCACTTACGGTAAACAGGATAAGCAAAGAGGAACTTGCCTGTACAGAAACAACAAAGACTCAAAGTGTAGGACACGCCATACTGAAAGGACCCCGGTAACCTTTGTGAAGGATGAATTACGCCAAAGGACTCATGTGATTAAAATCAGTAAGAGGTGAGAAGATAATGAATCCAGAAACTGAAAGACCAATTACAGATCTGAGGAATTAAACATCTCAGCAGGCAGGAGACATCGCTGGGCAGATGAGCCGGGAGGTCCGTGAGGAAATCTGTGAGGTCTCCAACCCCCAGACCACCACCTGGTACTGGTTTGTGGCCTGTTGGGAGCCAGGTTGCACAGCAAGAGGTGACCAGCGGGTGAGCCAGAGATGCTTCATCTGTATTTACAGCCACTCCCCATTGCTTGAGTGACTGCCTGAGCCTCACCTGTCAAATCAGCGGTGGTGTTAGGGTCTCAAAGGAGACCGAACCCTACTGTGAACTGCACGTGTGGAGCATCTCAGTTGTACATTCTCATAAAACACAGTCCACCCTATGCCTGGCCTGTGGAAAAACCTTCCATGAAACTAGTCCCTGGTTGCCACAAAGGTCGGGGACTGCTGCTGTAAGAGGCAGCAGAAAGGACTGTCGAGGACCAGCAGGTGGCGTGGTGGTTAAGGCACTACATCCCACATGGCTGACTCTGTGGTGGCTTTTTATATTTCTTTTCTGCCCAGACATTTTCTAGGTTTGGTCTTGGACTTCCCATGGTGTAGGAGAGGAAATGAACAGGGTCAGGATCTGCCAATTCCGTCTATACTGTGCAAATAAAACATGTTCATTTTAATGTAACTTATTTAAACAAAGCATAGATTACTTATCACTTCTACAGCACTGTCTACTTTCTGTTCTAAGTGCTTCACCGATAGTCTCCCTACATAGAATACCCCATCTGGAGCTATTTGTCAGACCAACATCCAGTGTGGCCTGGCCTTGAGCCACCTGTGTTCTGGCCAACCTCCTCTAATGCAGCTCATCTGGCTGGGCCTTCCCTAGGAGTCCACATTCCATTAATATCTCAGCGAGGGTCCCCTAGAACTTGGGTAATCCCTGTATTTCCACCTATGAAGAATTTGAAACTCAACTAGTAGTGTTCTGAGTATTTACGTTGATATCTTTGGTTTCCTGCACTTGCATGGTACCATCACACCTGCCTTTACAGCTGTTTTTTCCATTCCTCGCCAACTGCCGCAGGTGCTTTTCTGATGTGTCCAGTCGTCAGGGTCAGAGGTGATTTCCAAAGCAAAAATGTCCCCTACGTTCTTTCAGCAATCCAGGAACTATTGCAGTCAGAGAATCATGCCATAGGGAGTAGTGGGTATGATATGGGTGTGGGAGTTCTCATGGCAGAGTGGGGCGGTGGAGAAGGCATGGAATTTGAAATCTGGAGACTTGGGTTCATGCTTTGATTTCTTGGCCAAGTCACCTAGCTCCCCAGAGGCTGCATCAGCTACAAAATGAGCATCACTTAGCAGCAAACATTTTTGAGCACCTACTATGTGCTGGCATTTTAGTAGATGACTAAGTATCCATTAGTTCATTTAATTAACACAATAGCACTTATACATGGTACATTATAGAGAAAGAACTGAGCCCGGAGAAGTGAAATGACCTAAGATTACCCAGCACAAGCCTAGATTCATGCCTGCAGATGCAGTGGTTCCATTAGCATGGCAGCTGCCCCTGTTCTAGGTCATTTGCTTTCACTGAATGCCATGTACGAGAAGGCACCATTGGCTCCTAACCTCTGCGTACAATAAAACTACTCATTTGATACCTTCTTTTTTCTCCTGAGAGACTTTTGCTATAGGGTGCATATCCTCGCTGGAGAGAAAGAGACAGAGAGATAGAAAGTGAGAAATCACCCCCCAGGGTGTTGGCCATGATCCAATCCCTTCTCCTCCATTCTCCTCTTGGGATTTTGGACATGCATGCACACACATCCAATGTGTTTCAAGCTGCCTAGTCTGGGATTCAAACCGAGGTCAACCATATGAAAGTCCAGTGCCTTAACCACTATGCCACCTGCTGGCCCTGATCTGATATATTCTCCCTGAGAAATGCAGTTGGGTTGCTCATTGGAGGTGGTGGTACATGTGAGCAGGTATCAAATATGTTACATTATGTGCTGTCCGGAGTCTGGGCAATCTCAGATTGACATTTTAGTAATCACTTTTAAGAAGAAATTTGAGTGAAACCTCCTAGGTCTGGCTTCAGATTCTGCAGACAGCTTTTGTTTAGGGGGCGACTGAGAACCAAGGGTGCAGCCCATGTCAACAGCTTTGCTTTCTTTTTAGTCTACTTGCTTGGCAGTCTTCCCAGCTTGGAGGGAGTTAGCATTTAAATGAACAAAGTAGTGGAGCGACCACTGCAGACTTTCAAAGTCCTCTATGTCTAGAGAAGAAATGGGAATTCTATGACTGCCATTTGTCATTCACTGAATACGCTGTCCCAGTTTCCCTTCTCCTTTCTTTCTGAAACTCTGGTGAGCACTCATTTTTCCTTCTTGGGACCTCTGGCCACGTTGACTCCTGTCCTAGCTCTATATAAGGGTCTCTCCCAGGGGTGGCGATCCAGCCTGTGAAGAAGGGAGAATTTAGGTGGGGTTAGGGATTGAACTGTATCCTGAAAAAAAGATGTGTTGAGGTTTCCCAGTTTCTGAGAATGAGACCTTGTTTGGGAATAGGGTCAGTACTGATGTCATTAGCTAAGTTAAGATGCAGGCATACTGGAGGGAAGGCCCCAATCCAGGATGACTGGGGTCTTTTTTTGTTTTTAGAGGTTTTTGCTATAGGACACATGCACTCACCAGAAAGACAGAAACAGAGAGACAGAAAGTAAGAAATCACTTTCAGGGAGGATGGCCATGCCTCAATCCCTTCTCCTCGGGATCGTGGGCACGCACACACACATGCCCAGCATGAGTTTAAGCCACTGGGTCTGGGGCTTGAACCGCGGTCGACTACATGGGAGTCCAGCGACATAGCCATTACGCTAACTGCTGGTCGCCAGGATGACGAGTGTCCTTATAAGAGCAGGAGAGAGAGACGCAGGCAGACCATCACAAGAGAACAAAGGCAGAGATTGGAGAGAGGAATCTGGAGGCCAAGGCTTGTTGGGAATGCTCAGAAGCTGGAAGAAGCCACAGAGGACCTTCCCCTACAGTCTTGGGAGACCATGGTGACACCTTAATTTCAGATGTGTAGCCTCCAGAATTGTAAGAGACTACATTTCTTGTCTTTCTTTTTGCCCCCTAAATTTTACCTAAGGGAGTATGCCCTCACTGGAAAGAGACACGGTGGAGGTTGTGGGGCAGTGAGAAAGCACCCCCTCGGGGGATGGTCATGCTGCGATCCCTTCTCCTCCATTTCTATCTCCTGTTGGAATTTTGGGCACACACATGTGCCTGGTGGATTTTTCAAGATGTCATGTCCGGGATTCAAACCACATAGTGATCCATGTGGAATCCAGCTGCCTTAACCACCGTGCCACAGGCTGACCTTTAAGAACACTTTGCTGCTGTTTCAAGCTGAGCAGTTTGTGTTGTCGTGGCAGCCACGGCGAGCTAGCCCAGGTGGACAGGCAGGCTTTTTCCTTCCAAGTTTGGTGAAAGCTTCCTAGAATTCGGATGCTGATCAAGCCTAGGCTCTGAGACTAAACCTGATGAAATGAACACTTCCAACATCTTTTTAAACAG